GATTCACGATGACCGGTGTAAGGCTCGAACATTAATTTCTAGTAATTATCAGAGGTGTAATTCACCCAGCGAGGGTCCCGGGTCGCGTCCGGGGTCGGCCAGTGCGTGTTAACGCCGTTGTTATGCCCCATTATATTGTCCTACCTACACGCCAGTCACAAAGGGGAAAAGGCAACTCCGCAGAAACGACGAACAGAACGGACCTATTTTGAAAATTCTCACCCTCGCCCCTCTTCCTCCTACCCGCGATTCATTCTATTCGATGGCAATAAAAATGTTAAAAGAATACGATACATTACACTTTTTAAAGTAATTCTTTGTCAAAAAATTACTAGTATATGTGGAAATGTAAAAGCCATGAATCTTTTCCTGTCGCGGCGATTCATCGATCCGCGAAATGTTTTTTAAGGCAGCCCAGAACTTTTTCAGCAACTTATCACGCGGCGAATCGCATCGTGAAAGATGATTCATCGAGGCGTAAAGTTTAAAACTCGAGCAATTGTACGTCGGAACAATGGTGAACGGCGTCACCGCGTAACGAATCGCCGCGAAAATTGATAAAATATTATTAAACCCCACCCCGGCCGCCGACCAAGAGATAGCATTACTAATTTATTTAAATGGACTTATCTTTCCGAAGCCCCGATAGGAATGTAAATTGAACCTCACTGAATCAAGGGAGTAATGGCACGAGTAAGATAAAGATATTTTATTGCTTTGCGGTCGGACATATTTAAGCAGGGTGGAAAATCTTTTTTCCACCGTAGAACCTCTCTCTCGCGTGCTTCGATCTCACCTCCCACGTGACTCCGTGTCACAGAGAATTCTTCCGCCATTTTTACCCGTCTTGATAGCAAAAAATACCGTCCTCCGGCGACACGAAACGAAAAGCACGGAAACGCGGAACGAAAGAGGAACCCTGCTCATCGACATCCAACTCTATAGTCCGCGATTCGCGTACCTGCCAGTGACGGGGAACGGAAGCTGGTGAGGGCGCGATCGTGCGACTGGACCATCCGCAGAGGGATGAAACGGGCCTCCGAGAGGGGTCAGGAGGGAACAGTGCGCGAGAACCAGGGGATGGGAGAAGGTGGTGGGTCCTCTTCTACACCTTGATTTACTGTCGGCGATATTTTCTCGTCGGCGCTAGTTGGCGCCTACCGCACCACCGCACCCGACAATGGTGCCCGCTTGACATTTTGTTTCGAATTATTGCCCGCCTGGCCGGTCCTTTCTATGCCAGCCTCCACCGCACGACACCGCTGCGGTCTGCTTTTTTCCCAGACAGCTCTTTGTTGAGCCGCAAACTATGCGCAAACCGCGCACAGTATCCGCTTCGGATTCGGCGGCTGTCCGCCCGTCGCGGATTTAACGTCTCCCGCGGCAGGACAGAAGGATTCAACAATGTCGGCGATATGCTGGATACATACTCGTACCTACCCTCGTCACTACTTAAGAAACTCGGACATCCCTATGACTGATATGCTACTATTATATCTATCGTAATTATCTTCTGGTACCGCGTGTGTGAGAAAGCGTAGACGAGAAACGGAGCATATGCCCTAGAAAAGTGGCGTCGTGAAAATCGTTTAGCGACGCCTGGTTGAGATCGAAGCGTCGAATCGGGGATCATCGTGAGACCGATGTAAGCTGCGTGTTCGCAGTCAAGTTACATAATCGCGACGAAACACCGTGGCTAATCGGGAATCGGGGTGACCGATGGGATTGGGGCCCATCTTTCTGGCCGACCCAGAAGTCGTGTAACCTCTGAATTCCGAGGGAACACTTTTTCACCAACGCGGAATACTTTCCCGATTGTCGTATGAGCGAAAGAGATGTACGGTATAATTTTTCGACACGTCGAATCGAGGATGAAACGTGGAAGGGTGAGTCACGTCTTACACGATCGGTTCGAGGGAACTCGGAAGGGAAGGTACTCGGTGATAGACGCGACGTATGTGCTCTCATGTCGAAGACGTGACTCGTCTGGCGAGAATCGGCAAACCGAGAACTTAATGTCTTGGAACGGACGCCATATTAGCATATCCGCGTCCAATCGTCGCCCACGTGGCAAGGGCGCCGTGGCAAATCGGCCCGGAGCTATGACATTGTCGTTATTTCACTGACAGAACAAGCATGCGCGCGATTCTCCACGGCGAAGTATCGCTAACAAGGGTGGGAAGACTGTCTGATCGGAACACCAAGGGGGATGAATGGCCGTTGCTCCTTTTAAATCGAACCACCGAGCATAATGGCTAGGATCTCTTTCAAATCCACTTCCACTCTCGCCGCGTGATTCGTTCTTATTGAATCGTTGCGGTGGTCGATTCGTGACTGTAAGAAAATGACTGCTCGAATTCGATACCCAGTGGCGGAAGGAAGGGCGACGATAATAAGGCGAAAGTGTGGAAGAAACGGAAGCGCCGAGAGACGGATTTGCTCGTTAAAGGGAAGACAGAAGCGGGCCGCGACGGGTGAGGGGATGATGAGAATTTCCGAGGGGGTTCTTCCTAGTTTTATAAGGGATACGACTACTCTCGGAGCCCGTGGGCTGCTCCGTGTTATTTATCTTTATGGACCTCGGGCAGAGGGTAAGTACACTTACTCTCAGGGTGGGGGGTTAAGGGGCGAAGTTAAGCCGGAACGAGGGCGGTAAGAGATTGTTTGTCGTATTGGCTGCGGTTTCGACGGGCTTAACGTTACCCGTTTAGGGGATTTCTCTGTGGTTTTTCTCTAGAGAGACTGATTCCTCCCCGGATAGTCTTCGGGGAATCTTCTGGTACGTATGTATGTTCCATTCAACAAGTCGATGTTTGCACACGTCACGTTCGTTGGTACATTATGCCGCGTGTTTGTTTTCTCTTAATTTTTAAGAACAATTATTCTCAGCGAAAGTCGTACGATGTTTCTATTAGGAGACAACGATCGATTGGATGTTACGGAAGGGGCGGGACATTCGAGTAGCTAGGAATTAATCTATTGCCGTGTAATCGGCTTTCGATGATACAGAGACAATCGCACGAGAGAGAAATGGGTGAAGAAAAAGTAACTTTAATACCTCTTGTGAATGAAAGAGTTATTACCGCGGTGAATTAAGAGCGACCAATGAAATACGGTGTGATACCAATGAAATATTAAACTTCTGCTACGAACCGAGGTACTCGTAAGACGTCATCGTGGCGAAATGGAGAGATCGGTGAGGGATAATGCTTGGAAAATTCTCGTCACTTATACCCTTTTTATTCATTAACAACGATTCCGAGTACATACAGTGCTTATGTACAGAGTGATATTTACATCGAACTAATACAACGTGACACGTCGTGATAAATAATTCTTACAAAACAAAACAGAACGTCGACGATAACCTTACACCTGGATGTCGTATCATTTACATCGGACTTACATCGTACACATATAGCTAGAACAACGTCGTATGGACCGCAATATTCTAATAAATCCGTGGATCGATATAGAATCTTTGACAACGCAGACCTTCCACGACTGACTATTCCATAAATCGCTTTGATATTAAGATCTTCTTCAACGATCGAGGAAACGATATCCTCTCATCTTCAAAAGAAAAGAAAAATCCTCGAGCGAATATATACACGCTAATTATTGCTGTACAGAATACTGTAGTACTTTATCATCCTTATCCCTAAAAAGATTTATTCGACACGTTGGTATCGCATTGAATCCCATCTGTTTCCTTCCTTTATTTCACCCTAGTGCACGCTTTCGATAAATTCTTATCCACCAGTGTCTCGAATCGGTGACAATCAATGGGAAAACACGGCGCGAACACAGGTGAGCGAGGAACGATTCAGCAGAGCGGCGAAATAAGCAAACATTAAGCCGGGAATGGAAGTGGCGATAAGTCAAGCAATTCCGGGCAATATTAAGCCACTCCGAGCGGCAGGTTAACCCTATGTTAAGCCGTACGTCGAGCAGGAGGGGATCAGGGGCGGGAGGCGGTGCGGCGGGGGTGGAGTCGGGGGTGGCTGTGGAGGTCGCGTGTATTTAAAACGCGAATGCGCGCCAGCCGATTCACTGTTTGAAGTTAAATGGAGTGTAAATGGCAGATAACAAACCGGCACTGTTTCCGATTACGGCATTCATTGTTTCCTACCATTATGCGCGCTCCGCCGGTTTGTGTGTTAGCCGGGGTACGGTTTACGATCTATTTATTGCCGCGCCACCCCCGACACACAAATGAACGCGGCTTACGTCGCGTTCTGCCCCCGCCAGTGCACGCTCCCTACCCCACCTTTGTGCCCACCCCCTCGGCTCACCTGCCCTCCACCGAATCCGAATATTTCGTTTTTCCTGATAAAAAAGAATATAAATTTCGCGATCCGCGGCAATTGCCGGGCGAATAAAAGAAGATAATTGGGACTCAAGGGATACCCGACCCGACCCATCACGCCCTTACACCTAAGATAAAGTCCGATTAATCGACGGTCAATCGAGGTATTTACAAATTTCTCCTACCTAATATTGACTAGAGAGGGAATATCACCTTATCGCGGTTCGTAAGGTAAAATCTCTTAGGTTAATCGTTAAAGCTTCTAGCGATTAGTTCGTTATCGTACACGTATACCATGTAAAATGTCGTAATCGATTAATCTCGTTAAGTACTTCAGTTAAAATGGACAAGTGCAAAAAACTCGTGGATATTCGGTTAACCAGGAGCTAGCGATAGAATAGGTATGATTATCCTGTGTATCGTACTACGTATGTTAGAAGATATTTTAAAAAACTGGAAGAGCATTTCATCTTCGTCCTGACGCAACAATCTCCATAGATCAACAATTAAATCGAAAACAGATTAATCGAATCCTATTATCCTACCTCTCCGAGAACGACGCCTCTCCCGCTACCCAAAGTTCTTAAATTTGTAACTCCGTGTCGTCCGACCAGAAAGAAGCATTCGAATTTTAATTCTCGAACGAATAGCCACTGGTCAGTATCGCGTCTTCCGTTGACGATTTCCGTCGTCACTTGCTGTGAACGGTGGTAGCTCGCCTCTTCACTTCGACCTGGTCCACGATTGCGTCGCTCTCTTTATCCTGGTGCGCGGTCATATGCCTGGTGAGGTGGTGTCTTTCCCTGAAGCTCTCGTCGCAGACGGGACACCTAAGTTTCTCCTCCCGCCTCCTCCTGGCAGCTTCGCCGGAATTCTCGTTCTTGTGGTGCGATCTCATGTGGTACACCAAGTCGGACGTCATCCGGAAGGAAAGATTGCACTTGGCGCAAACGTTTTGCGCGGGCAGGGTCAACGCGGCGAACGACGGGGGTAGAAGACCAGCCACCCCCGCGGCCGTCGCCAGGAATCTCGGCCTGGTCAACGCTTCCGCCATCGGAGGGAACACGGAGATTGGATTGTACGGCAGGTTAGGATAAACCGGTGGTAGATCCGGTCGGAAACTGGGCATCTTCGGACTGGGTACTTTGGGTGGCTGAGCGATCTGAGGTATCTTCAGGTTCTCCAGTATACCAGGCTGACTGCTTTCGGGACTGACTAGGAAAGGATACGTCATTTTGGTGGGGAACGGTGCGTACTTGTAGCCAGTGGTAGCGGTCAGTGGTACAACCGGTGGACTGACGCTGTTTTGATAACCGCTACGATCGTCTGGCGATATGGAGGACCTTGGCGAGGTCTGTCCGTCGTCGTTAAAGCCGTTCCTCTGAGATGCAAGGTTCACCTTCGTAAAGGCGCTGCGGGATTCTCCGTGTCTGTCGCTCGGACAGGGTATGACGGTATCGTAGACCTTGTTACAGGCAAGGTTCGGCTCTACCGCGTCGGGACAAGTGGTCAACATTGATTGATGAGTGCCAAACGCTGGTGGGCTCGGAGACTTTTGTAGACGACTGCCAGAGACGTACCTCCGCGCGTCGGTGTCGGGTGACAATCCTGGCAGTGTTGGGGTCAAAGTTCTGGGCGATATGTACGGAGGGCTTAATGAGTTCTCCGTGCAATGCAACATCCTTCTCCTGTCGGAGCCACCGGTGTCATTGTCGTAATTCTTGATCGTCAAATTCTGAGGCAGTCTATCGGAATCTACGATGTTCTCCCTCGAGATCTCTTCTCGAGAACGGTCCTTCCTGCTTGACACCAGCCTCATCTTCTCATTTTGACGACGAGCGAGGTTCTCGTCGGGCGCGACGAGGAACGCTACGTCGAAAGAGCGTTTGCTGGCGCGCTGGAGAGGATACGAAGCGTCGGAGGTGACGTCGCTGATGGACGAGGGACTGGACGACGTTAACGCCGTCGTGGCCGTCGTAGACGTCGCGGGGGCGGCGCGGTCGATGCCACCCGTGCGATCTTCCATTGTCATCCTGCTCGTTCCGGATGATCGACCTATGACAATGACGGCCGATGGTCAATTTACCGGGCTCCACGGAAATGATGGATGCGAGTCGCGCTTCTATACACGACACCAGGTGTTACAACCGTGCACAAATCAGGGGAAACTGGGTCAATGAGAACTGACAAGCGAGTACAGATGTATTCGAATGAGTGGAGACGCGCGTGATGGAACACCGATGAAAACTGACACTTGCCTTTAAACGATTGACGGCATGCATAATGAAAACCTTCGCGTATCGATTACGAAGAAGCGAAGTGCATGTGAACGAAGTTAAATGCACTGGCAAAATAGCCATTCCAAGGCAACGAGGAGACTTTTCACGAAGAGACAGTGAAACTACTAATCCCGAAATTGCTCGAACTTCAACTATTCAGAAGTAAACTTACCGGACCACGCGTCCAACAGAGAATCCTCGCTCCGCCAATCAGAGTGTGCGCCTCGAGACAGCCACGCTGTTCACCCCCTTCGGGTGTCAATCCTCCTCGGTCTAAGACATCAGTTCACACAGTTCTTTCCCATCGGACAACAAACATCAGGCTAATCACAAGCGTCGGTGATTACACCGGCACAAATGAGCGATCCGATCGCAGTAACACCGCAGAAGAAACACAGAGAACGACGAGGGTACAGCGTGCATCGGCGGACCACGTTAAAATGAGGGAACCGGCCGCGCATCCCCTGTATTTAGGGGTAGAATCCCGCGGAGGGTAGCTCGGCGTGGCAGGTGGAGGCGCAACGAGGGTGGCACCGGCCAATGGCAACGTTCCCAGGGTTAGACGGGGGTGGAGCGTACGAACGGGGTGAACATATTCGGTCGTCGGGACGCGTCTGCTAGTCCCATCCAGACCACGCCTACATATTTCAGGTTCGACACATGTGCCCGGGATCGTCGTCGTCGTCGTCGTAGCCGTCCTCGTCGACTCTTTCCTCTTCTGCCCTCTCTCCACGTTGCGCAACGCGTTCCGCAGGATCCCGTTACCCCGTTAGCCCGAGATCTAGGGAGAATGGGGGTAGCGGCGGGCCCGAGCGGGGCTGTAATTCAGCCTGACAAACGATCTTGAATATTTTTAACGCCCGCGCCAGCCTCGACTCCTTTTTTATGGTCGACCTCCTGGATATTGGACGTTCGGCAGACTCGTCGAATCCGCTGATGGACCTCCACCGTACCCGATTATCCCGCCAATGATCATTCGCTCCGACTTTCCCAGCGTTCGCTGAAACATTTTCCGTCCAAGGGAAATCTCCTCTTTTCTGCTCTTCCCTTTTTTCGTCGCCTTGAACAGCTATCGCGTTGGGAAGGATTCCATGGTGTTTGAAGGATCGTTTCTATTTTAATTACTTTTTATATATTCGTCGGTGTAATTCTCGACCGTTCCAGATTCCACCGTTGGTCATCTTACGAACACCTCGTTGCCGAAGAGAAATGAGGCGTATTAAATCGACCGCACTGGACAGAAGGTACCAGCAGAGCCACCAGAGATCATCATTTTACGGATTATCTTCCTGACGAATACCCCCCATTTCTCGCTGGTTCGATAAATACCATGATCCCTCCAGGTGACATACGGCTCCTACGAAACCGTTTTCACGCGATAACCAAGATTCTTTCATCATCCTCTCAACGTAGCACTTTTGACAACTTCATCGCGATCGAACCTTTCTCGAAATCATCCAGCTAAGTGTGTCAACATTCTACCAGGGAATACCTCGAAGCACGGAAATGGTAACTAGTCCTTCCTAGTATTGAATGGCAAGAGGAGCAGAGCGAGACCGGAATTTTATGCCGAAGCAATAATTCCCGCTATCGCGGAAAAAAGGAAACAAAAAGGCTGGCCGGCTCGCGAAGCCAATAGACGATCAATCATAAAGCTGGTGATCTATTTTGCCCGGCATGTGAGAGCCGTCGAGTTCTTACGCTCACGATTCCCGGGTTTCTGCGAACTCTGCGGGGAATGCCTAGAGGTTAAAGGACATTAACTTCTTGATTGAGTCGGCAAAAAGTTGTAATGACTTTTCGATTGGACTGGCCGACCCCAGCGGAGATTCGCGATCACGGAAGACGAAGCGACCTGTATCTAAGTTTTTCCCTCCTTCTCTGCCTCGAAATTATTTATCGCAACGAGATTAACAGCGACGAGCAGTTGTTATAAACATTTTCCCTCTCGCGCTGCGCGATGACGAGGAGAGGGTAGCTTACTCGGAGCTGAAGTAAATTAAATCATTCGATTACCAGCTGAGCAGATGATGGCAAACGATCCATGCCAGATCTAATCCTAATTCGTGGTCGTAAAGTTGACGTGGTCGTTTCGTCGACGTTATGTGTGACACGCGACTCCCGGCAGGACGTCCAGGAACGTTTCTGTATCTTTCGCCAGCCATTCCTGGCTTATGAACCATATTTATTGCCGATCGTGGCATCCTGTCCCTGCACGCTTCTGCTGGCGATATACCGATCCCTAATTCCACTTTATGCCTTCTCACTGGCTACGCTCAAATGACTATCCCACTATCTCTCATCCAGTGTCTACATACCCCGATCTTTTCCTCGGGTAAAAAGAAAAACAGAGTGTTCCAAAATTGGCTCACTTTTAATTTGCAACGAGAGAGGAAAACTCGGGTCCGTGAGAATCATCCAGGTCTAATTTCGCAAGCATCTGTCCTCGGTGTCCTGCAAATCGGCCAGAAAGGGCAGCTTCGCGACGCCCAATTCGTCCAAGTTAAACGAGCAGAGGGTTGCAGCTCGACCGGCACGTGGCTGACACGCGTGAGCTGTTAACGCTGAATCCTACCAAGGGATGGTAACACCGTTGCTCCGCCTAAGGGACACCTTGCAGAAAGCTATCCACTGGTTCGCCCCCCCCCCCCAGCTACGTTTTGAATTATGCGAAAATTTCTGGAAGATTGCTCGAATTAATTTTCGTTTATATCGTCTAGACTGGGCGGCCAGGATCGATCGGCGAACGCACCAACTGCACGAACCGCGTATTGCGATGTCTGTTTAATTCATTCCTTCTTTTTCTAGGAGAAACGGTTCGATGTACTTCCGAGCAATATCTTGCGATACTTTCCGGTTGGCTGGTGCTAACGCGAGGACTGCTGAGTCTGTCCGGTGATAAATATGCAGCCGATGCAGTTGATGAGAGAAGGTCGTTTATCAATCACCCATTAACGCGGCCCCAGCGCTCTGTGCAGCTTTACCGGCTCCGTCGAAAACCTGCTCGCTCCTGCCTCCATATTTCACGGAATCATCGTGATTCTCTTCCACCGGGCTTCCCCGGGCGTAGTCGATTTTCCATTAAAATCCGGCGTCCACATTGGTCGCATACAAACCCGCCGCTCTCCAAGGAAATATTCCATTGAGATACGTTCCTGGGCCAATCGTACCTCTCCAGAAGCTTGCTGGAATCGTAATCTATAATAGGAGTCCCAAAATTGCAAATGGAACGTGACTGAAAATCGATCGAATCTCCGGTTCCTTCGTGGATCGAAGATTAATCGATCGATGGCTTCGAGAAGCTTCGAAGAAAAGTCCAGAAATTGCTACCAAGAGAAGTATTTTAGGGAAAAGGGTGACTACGAGGTGCGATTTCTTTGCGTCTTCCAGTGGTTCTTCCAGAGAAGAAAAATCGACAAGAGCGAATCTGCGTAGGTCGAAGGAACAGGATAGTGCGTCCTGAGTCGCTGATAAATTGAACGTGTGATGAGTTCAGAGGATTCCTGAAATAGCTAGCCACGATGTACGTCACTGGCGAAAGGGGAAGAGGTGCGCAGCCCTGACGACGAGTGCCAGAGATTTAGATTTTACGGACGCTTGAGCAATTCCTTGACTTATAAGCGGGACCATGCATACCAAGTGAGCCATCAAATGTTTCTGACTGTCTTAATTCCCAGGCCCGGCCCTCAAAAAGTGGCATCGTCTGTGTTCGCAATCTCATTTTATCGTTCGAAATAATTACCGATCCTCCGGAGATTAAAATATTCCCATCCCAGAAGTTAAGTTCGAACAAAGTTCCAACTCCGATCTTCATCCGCTGCAGCGTTCCTAGCTGTGTTTCAAACTGCGATCGCTCAGGTCGCCAACACGAAGTTCCAGGTAATCATCGATCAAAGCTCGGAGCATCTTTCGGCTAGCAGCGATTGCGGCGACATTGATCCCGAACTAGCAAACGCAGCGCGATTCCAGCGAATCCAGCGCGGTCGTCGCGGAAGTCGAACGTGCCCGATGAAATTTGAATTCACTTTCCGTATTTACAGGGTGGCGCAGAAGTTTGTTCCCTCCCCCGGCGCCGCTCTTGTTGATATCATCCGGAGACGATATCGGCTTGCTCCGCGGTTGCTCGGGGAATTTAATTCTATTCGAAGTGCCACCTAAGATGCCACCTAAGATGCCACCTTCGCCTCTTATCTCTGTGCACACGGTGGGCTGCGCGTGGCGGTTGCTTATGTGTTACGTGAATACCTTACCTAAACGCTCGGCAGGGAAGCGTTTCTGCGTGCCGTTACCTACCCTGGCCTCTGCCGACGGCCCTCGATGGAACCGCGCCATCCCCTCTGCCGTTTCTGCCTCTAGCACACAGTGAGGGAGTCGACCGAGGAAAATTAATGCGACTTCCAACCGGGCGCTATCGGACGCCGCTATCTCGCGCCTCGCTCGCGGAAAACGTGAGTCGCCTAGGCGAGAAGTTTCGGAATTTAAGTGGCGAGGCGCCATGGAACGTACGCGACCCCCGGATTTCAGGATCGACCCGATCAGCCGTGGGAATCCTACGCCGAGGGTGGTGCGTTTCCGATAACGGTGATTTAAAATCGTAGTCGATGCGGAGTGCTTGTAAATTCCGATGATTGGATGTTTCGCGAATTATGGTCTGGCGTGTGCAGGAAACAACCAATCAAACGGTACAAATTAATGGCACGCGTAAATATTCATGGGTCATTAATCATCGGCGTGACTGGCATCAACACGCCGA